GAAAACGGAGGGCCTGGAACGAAGTTTTCGTCTTTTTTTAGTGACGACCATTTTTCGTCTTTACACAATTTTTCCCGTTTTACAATGTTGGTTATAATCGTGTTTTACTTTTACATTTTTCGCTTGTTACAATTTTATTTACAAATATGGTTACAATGGTGTGCCTTATAATTGTACGTGTAAACTATATCTGCGTGCTAGTGCAGGATTGGAACGTGTTCTCACGTTTCGTTTGGTGCTACGTTCTATTACGACCGAGAGGGTTTTTTCCCTTTTTATTTTCTTTATTATGAGTACTGCAATTATGATTACTATCACTACGATTATAAAATTTTTTATCGGGTATATCGCTTTGATTTTACGTCTTGCCACACCGCGTCGAGGCGAGATGTAAAAGTGCAGCGATATAAGTATAAACAATAATGCGTTGTTTCTCCAATCACCAACTGTGTGCTATATTAATTAAGTCGCGAGCGCCCCACTCCCATCTATTTAGTATATATGTTTATAAATTCATATATGCGCGAGATATTCAGTTTTACTGTGAACAGTGGGAACAGTGCAGGATCGGTGCACGCGGCGTTCGGTTTTTCTTACTGCGGAGTTTTATCATTTATATTGTTTTTGACAAAATCAATGATGTCTCAGCACACCCAACAGTCTCCTGTTGCTAAAGAAAACCCATATCAATTACGACATGAGGAAGTAAGTAACAAACCTGCTTATAACCTATCTAATCTAAAAAGAACTTTATATTTACTTACGTAATTGTTCAAAGTGCGTACTTGCGAGCGGATAACGCAAAAAAATATGGGAAAAATAAATAAATGCTTTGTATTCAAAAGACATATGCGTCGAATTGTTAAAAAAGAATTATTAGAAACATTGTCGGTGAATCGAAAAGTAATTAAAATAAGAAATAAATCATAAACTAAAACTGCATTGCAGTTATAATATATATATATATTTTTTGTTTTAAATATATAAGTATTACATAACGCTGTCTCTCTCTCTCTCTCTATCTCTCTCTCTCTCTCTCTCTCTCTCTCTCTCTCC